CTCATCGGTCAAGACCTTCTAAAGCGGTTTGAGCCCCTGATCGATTATCGACAGCTGAAAATATGGGCACAGGTCCGCAGACCATTACCCATACCAGCAACCAACAAGAATCGGGCTCAGTGTTGCGCCCTGACGCGTGAACTTTCTACAAGCACACCGACAAGTGTAAGCTCACCGGAGCGACCCTACTTGACTGACGATGAGCCACAACCCTGCTCGTGGCCTTTCGATGACTCAGTCATAAAGAGGGACACATTTTTGTGCAAATTCGATGACACCAATGGACCCGACACGCCCGGGCCATTGATCACTGAAGGCATCAACTTGAATGAGAATCACGTCAACGATGTGATTTTGGCTCTTTGGGCTGACAAGTCAGCCATCAGCCGTGAACTGTACGACGCCTTATCTAGGGATGACCCAAACCTCCAGTGTGTTCGGAAAGCATTTCGCTTCCCCTTGGACTCCCTTCCTAAAGCTACCATGACTGCTGAAGGCGTCTGTGCCTTAACTGTGCGGTGGAACAAAAGGGAGATGACCCACCACTTCTTGGTCATCCCAGACCTACCACATCAGGTCTACATGGGAAGTGATATGCTGGTCAGGTTGGCAGTCCAGGTTGATACCATTAACAACATACTGTGGTCCCTTACCAGTGTTAATGAGGAATCCCAGACCCCTGATGTCGACAACATCATATCAGGACAGTCGATCCCTGAAGCCTGTCAGGTAGCCAATGAGCTTGACATTGTCGTACCTGCAATGACCACAAACGTTCCCATTCGCTTGAACCTACAACGTGGACAAAAGCTTTTGCACACTCAAGCTTTCTTCCAGCCGTCGTTGCTCTTTCTTAAACTAGGGCTGTCTACTCAAGCAACTCCTCTTCTTGAACTTCACTCGAGATTCACACATTTGCTTGTACAAAACACGACATCAGAAGATATCCTGATCCCTAAATCCACCCCGCTGGGTTGGTTGATCAGCACGTCGTTCCACGACTTTGAATTGAGGATTCCTGTAATAGGAAAAATGCCCCGTTCTCTGATGTCAGACCATTCGTCAGAACAGGTCTTTCATACCCTACCTTCCAGGGCTATCTCGCTCTTCCCAACTGTACCGCTTGACCACGACACCATCTGTCAGGTCGACCTCTCTGAGGACTCACAGATGATCCTGCACACAGTGCAAGTCCTAAGCGTCAGTTCGGAGCCAGAAACGGCCCATACACTTTCCGGGGTAGAACCCTCTATCTTCCCAACCGGGCAAACACCTGAGCACGATCCAGACTTTGACGCCAAAGTCGAACAGCTCGTAGCTGAGGCAGACGCCCTGAACGGCGAAAAGGAGCGTGAAAAGCTTCGCAAACTTCTGCACAAATATCGAGCCTCTTTCGCAAAAGACTCGCTTGACTGTGGCTTAACCTCTATCCACTCTATCCGCATTCCGACACCACCGGATGCACCACCAACTTTTGTACGCCAGTACAAAATTCCCTTAGCGTCCTATGAACCAATTCAGGAAATCATAGACGATCTTTTGGCGAAAGGGATCATTCGGCCATGTAACAGTACCTACTCAGCCCCACTCTGGCCGGTACTGAAACCAAACGGTAAATGGCGACTGACCATCGATTACCGCAAACTGAACCAACAAGTTCCCCTTTCCAGGTGGCCTATGGCTCAGCTCCAACAGGATCTGCCAAAGATCACTGACGCAAGATACTTCTCCACTCTTGATGTGGCATCAGGGTTCTGGACGATACCAGTACAGGAAGCTGACCAGCACAAACTGGCGTTCACTTTTGCCAACAGGCAGTACACCTTCACCCGATGCCCTTTCGGCTATGCCAACTCGCCAGCAGAGTTCAACATCTTTCTTAACAAAGCCTGCCCAGATGCTAGTGAGAGAGGCACCCTCATATATGTCAATGACATCTTAATGAGGAGCCATCTCGCTGAGATTGACCATGTCCTGAACCAGCTCACGAACGCAGGGGCAAAGATATCTCTGTCGAAATGTCAGTGGTGCAGGACCAAGGTGAACTACGTCGGTTTGCTTGTTGGTCCAACAGGTGTCGAACCACAGCTGAGTCGGATCCAAGGACTGTCAAACCTTAAAGCTCCCACAAACGTCTCAGAGCTTCGCAGCTTTTTGGGAGTATGCAACTACTCCAGACAGTTCATTGAGGACTATGCAGACTTAGCAAAACCCCTCACCAACTTACTGAAAAAGGATGTGCCATTCACTTGGGGACCGCCCCAACAACACGCCATGCAAGCTTTAAAAGACAGACTCTGTGCAGCTCCTTGTCTTGCCTACCCAGACTGCAACAGACCGTTCTATCTGGAGGTTGGTTTCTCTTGTCACTGCCTCAGTGCAGGATTATACCAGATCCATGACTCAGATAAACGAGTTGTCGCGTATGCTAGCAAAACCTTGTTGGCTCCTGAACTGAAGTTCTCCGACTGCGAAAAGGCGCTTCTCGCCACTGTGTGGGCTGTGAAGCATTTTTCGAATTATCTTGGAGGCCAAAAGGTGATTGTGGAAACCAATCATCAACCAGTGACCTTCCTTAACAGCCAAAGAATCAGGGACGGCGTTGTAACCAACGCTCGTGTAGCATCTTGGCTTATGGCTCTTCAGAGCTTTGACATCGAGGTCCACTACGCCCAAAATCGCAAAACACCTCTCGGGATGGAACTCGCAGCGTGCCAAAGCTGCTTGACAGACAGCGCAAACACAGGGTCCCCAACCTGCGACCCCGAGCCACCTGAATTATCTTGCCACCGATACTTCGACGACAATGTCTGCAAAGACATGATTACAGCTTACGTTGATGGTTGCTCATACCATCACGACACTGTTCTCAGAGCAGGCGTGGGTGTTGTCTGGGTCAACGACGAACCGTGTGAACCACTCAGCTTCAACCTAGGGGCCCAAATGTCCCAGTATGCTGAAGTGGCAGGCATTCTGATTGTTTTGCAACTTGCGGTGGAACACAAAATCCACGCCTTGACGATCTGTACAGATTCCAACTATGCGCGACTCAGCTTCTCATGCCATCTGCCTTTGTGGAAACGCAACGGTTTCTTGACCTCGAACAGAAAGCCGGTCAAACACAAAGATCTGTTCCTGACGTGCGACTTCTTGCCCTCTAACCATGATCTTCAGATCTATTGGAAGAAAGTCAGGGGGCACTCTCGTATCCCTGGTCCAGACAAGATGTTTAATGACCAGGCTGACTCCTTAGCCAAGCAGGGGGCCTTAACTGGCTCAAACTGGCACTTTGAGCCCTCTGTTTTTCCCCTCCCACCCGTGCCCCTGGTTTGTGCTGTCACCAGAGCCCAGTCTCGAGCTCCACCTCGCCCGGCTCCCTCGGGCCCGGTCTCCGCCACTGTGGCTTCGGCTTTTTCTGACTCTGACTTGCTGGTGCTCCAAGCTTCGGACCCAGCCATTGCTGCCATGACGCAGTTCCTTTCAGGGCCTCCTGACTCCTCCATGGCTCCTGCCTTACTTGACTCCATCCCTGGCCTACGCCATGTTTTCCGCGTGCGCTCTTCGCTGCGGCTCGTCAAGGGCTTTCTGGTTTATGTCTCTGATGCACTCACTTCGCCTGCCCTGGTGGTGCCTCACAGCCACAGGGGGGTGATGTTGACATACGCCCATGACACACCGTGCGCAGGACACAGAGGAAACAAAGCCACGCTCCATGCTCTCCAACAGGTGGCCTATTGGCCACACATGCAGAAAGATGTAGCTGACTACATAAAAGGGTGCCTGGTTTGCTGCCAGTTTCAACCGGCAAACCCACTTCACCGAGCACCTCTGCAGCGCAGAGGTATCTCCTTTCCTTGGTCAGACCTCCAGATCGATTGGGTGGGTCCGCTCACTAAGTCAGCAAGAGGAAACAAATACTTCCTCACAGTTGTCTGTGCATTCACCAAATGGGTAGAATGCCTACCAGCCCCAAACGATACGGCTCAGACCACAGCCTACCTCTTGATGAACCACATCTTCTTGCGGTTCGGACTCCCAACTCGTGTCGACTCTGACAGAGGGACACATTTCACCTCAGAGGTAATGCAACAACTGTGGCAACTGTTGGGCGTCAAAGCCAACTTCCACATCAGCCACCACCCCCTGTCGTCTGGACAGGTAGAACGGGCAAACCGAACAGTGGAAACCATACTGAAAAAGTATGTGTCAGCCAACCACAAGGACTGGGATGTTAAGCTTCCCTTGGTCCTGATGGCCATCAGAGCGACTCCACATGGGTCAACCGGGTTCTCACCCTTCGAGCTGATGACGGGCAGACAGATGACCCTACCTCTGCACCTGCTGTATCAGCCAGGTGAGGCCAGTATAGCAACAGCCTACACGACCCATCAGTACATGACTGACTTACACCAGCACTTGAAGGCAACGTTTGCCTTCACCCAAGAGCATCTCAGCAAAAGTGCTGAAGGACGCAAGTCCTATTATGACCAAAAAGCCTCCCAACAGGAACTCCAAGTGGGTGACAAGGTGTGGTACTACCTGTTCACCCAGCCCACCGGAGATAAAGCCCCAAAGTCTGGGAGACTGGCACGAAAGTTCCTGCCCCGCTGGGCAAGCCCGTACCTGATCACTGAAAAGCTCTCTTCTGTTGTGTACCAAATTAAGATCGCAAAGGGCAACAAAGAGCCGACCCTTAAATGGGTCCACCGCAACCAGATTAAACTTCACCACAACCCCATGGGACTTGTCGGGGCCTCCAGCGCCACCCTTGAGTCATAAACTAGAACAGTCCCAAGTTCTCCTGATTGACGTCAGGTCCCCTAGTCCTCATAGATACTGTGTCCACGTGAAGTTTATCCTATTTGTGCGTCTGTATTGGTGTTGAATTGTTGCCACTGAGTTGCCCTCGGGCACACTTTGGGTCACAAAGTGGGGAGGAGAAAATAAAGTGACAGGGAGCATTTGAATTCTAGATTGTCCTTTACCAACTCATCCTAACTATGTCCACCCTCTTCCTCAGGATGATTTGGCTGATAGCACTCCTGATTCTCGGCTTGGTAGCTGCTCCAGCTAGCCCTGAGATCGTAGAGCCAGGACCGGACTCTGGAATTGTGTTAAGGGATCAGCCTGGACTCCTGATAACAGACTGTCGCCTGCACACACAGAAGGTGTTTGTCAGGCTCAACCCTAAGGAAGTCCTCAAGAAAAATGTTCCGGTAACAGCTCAACTGACCAGTTGGGCCGGGACACATTGGAGCAGGCAGGTCGTAAATCACGCTGAGTTGGACATTACTTACATGTTAGAGCAACTTCAGAAATTCACTGTCTCTCAAACAGAGTTAAGTGGTACCAACAGGAGATCCAAGCGTTTTATTGGAGCACTGCTCACCGCAGCCTCGGTTGTTGGCTCTCTTTTTGGTGTTGGGCTGTCCTCTGTTAATGCAATTAGCTTAGCTGCCGTCAAACGCCATGTGGGTGAGCTAGAAGCCGAAATCCCAGACATCAGGGCTCAGATAAACAGACAGCAGACACAACTGCAGACTATTGGTCAAACAGTCAAGGGCACCGTTCTGGTGGTTAACACCCACACAGAAGTCCTGAATAAGACGCTGCGTGCTGTAAATTCTTTGTTGTCGGTGGTCAAGGTCGAATATGCTCACACAATGCTATTGAATATGCTCATGTCAGACATGTTGCGAGAAATATCATCCTCAATAGACAGCTTGGCTGCAGGCCGGATTCCTCCGTACTTGGTACCTCTCTCATTGGTTCAGGACTTACTATCAACTGCAACCAGAGAGGCCACCACTCCTTTACAAGCCCACCTCGCGTATACCCTGGGTAGCGCTGTGCCGATCTACGTTAATCCCGAAGATTGAGAAATTGCTTTCCTTATTAACTTGCCAATTATAGCATCAGGAAGCATCTATAGGCTAAAGGATGTAGTCAATGTCGGGTTTTGGAAAGAGGACGCACACCTCCAAATTCAGACCCCACCAGTGGTCGCTTACCACGACAGCAATCCTGACCTATATCTAGCTCCTAACCTGCGTATGTGCACATGAACCAAAGACATACACTACCTCTGCCCCAGTAAACCATTTGTGTGGGACAGTACTAATGGCCTCTGCGGCCTTACGCCCATGGTGGCCAACACCAAATGCCCTACTACAGCAAGACACCGTTCACAAGTGACTGTAACACAGGTCGAAAGAGTGGGCCACCGTTGGTTAGTTAACACCCCCACCAAGACTGCCATTGTAAATTACGACCGGCACGATACCGCCACACGCATTTCTCTACTGGATCAGACCATGTGGATTGAGGTGCCACCAAATGCCATTCTCCATATAGATGACATTGCCCTCTATTACCTCAACCCTGAGCAATTCGAAACAGAGATTGAAGTGCCAGCATTTTTCAGCAAGCATACGCTGATCCAAACACTATTTCTCAAATCCAATATGCAGGTACTCAGATCATTGACCTAACGCCTGTAGATGACGTCCTTATAGACATAAGGTCCCAAGAGAAGTCCCCGCTGCAACCTATAGTCTATGTTTGGTCCACCCCAGACACCCTACTAGCAGCCGCCATAGTGTTAGGGTATCTCCTGACCTTCGGGTTAACCTTCATCTACGTCAAACGTGGTAAAGCCCTACAGTACAAAATAGACCAGTGTGTAACTAGGTTACGACTCCGTAGACAACCGGAAACGGAACAGGGAGTTGAACAGCCAGAGGAAGACCAGGTGAGCCACATGCTCGAGGTGTAGTCAGCTTCCTGTAACCCTGCACCCATAGATTTAGTAGGCTTAACACATACAGTAGATCTAACGAAGTAGCTAGTTCTGAACGAGACGCATCACCCTCCTTGGACTAACTGCTGCTTCCACCTGGTCGTCTCATCTCATCGTCCCAATGGCTCCTGGAGCTGCCATCGAGACGAAGGGGGGATTTGTAACGAGACAACTGCTTTCTGCTATCCACATTGAATCCACCCCTCAAAGGAATGCAGGCTCCCCTGGTTTGGACAGGAAATGGGGGAGAAACGGTTTGCACACCAAGTTCCCATTTACGACCCAGGAAGCCATTTGGGAGGTGATAGTGAATCTTTAACGCTTCCCAAAAAGGACAAGTTGCTTATCAACCACACAGACCCATAAACACGGAGTCTCTCACCCTGGCTGGGAAAGATCAGAATTGACACTTCAGGATTAACCCAATGACCTAAAAGGGAAAACAAACCATTTGGCGCCAAATCTGAAAAACCAGATACCTGCCATAAAATTCCTTGGCTTTCTTTACAGAGCAGAAGGAAGAGGATGCCTGAAAATGGTTTAACTTCATGTTTAATGGACACTTCACCAGAATTTTCTGTCTGTACACCACATTCTTAATGAAATGGTCTTTTTCCCAATTCTGTAACATATCCACAAGCCAAACTGTTAATTTCACAAATTTATTCCAGGTTTTCCATGGACCAAGAGCTCCTCCTAGTGGTAATGCCTGAATATGGTTTGATCAGAGCCAAATGGCAGGAATCTAGTCATGTGTATTTCTTCCCTTTTGTTTTATACGCTTCGTAGCTTAGTAAATGGTATTCCCAAGATAGGCTAGTAGTTTAGAAGTAGTAACGTGAAACTCGTTTAGACTCAAGTTAAGAGTTTCTGAATGTATCCATACTATGCTTTTGTCTACCTCACACAAATATATATATTAATCATCTATGAAGCTTGATTGACAAGGTTATAGTGTTGTCAAATATTATTACGGATGTGTTTCTTATGCTGGATGGTGTTTCTGTTCGAATAGATAATTTGTTTTCTGTCCCTCTCTAACTTTTAAAAGTCGTTTATCCTCTGTATTATCAAGAAGGCAGCTGATCAAAAGTTTACTGGTTTCAATGTCATGCTTTAATGCATCTGCTCATAAGAAACAATGAAGTGAAATGTGATCGTATGTGATGTTACAAACTGTTTAATCATAGTGAGTGAGTAAATTAGATCTAGCTCGCTTTTACTATCAAGTTGAGTTAATTCGCTGCCAGTCGATGGGCTGCATTGGGGAGGTCCCCCCCTTTTCTCATCTTTGGTTCACGCCTACGGTGAATCGCTTAAAAGAGTTGAGATTTTGCCGCCTCTTCAGTCTTGTTTTAGTTTAGTCTTGTTCTAGTCTTGTCTTCTTTAGTCTTGTTTTGTTTTAGTCTAGTTTGTCTTCTTCGTAGTTTTCTTTGTCTCCGTCTATAGTTCGCAATTTTCCCCGCGTTTTTATTAATTGCCTTAAGCTCAGATTTTTGTTCTAAACTTGGATGAAATTATTCCCAAGCCCTTAAAGCCTCAGTAACAAGCTGCGCGCATAAGAGAACCTCAGTCTAAGTCTGGTTATTTATTTTTGTTCGCTAAAGTGACTCCTGAAGATAATATCGGCTGGCCAGCGAAATTATTTTCTTAAGTTATTGGCGCGAATTAATCTGCAACTAAGCTAGTCCTGAACGTCGACCAGCATCATCTGCCGAGCTGCCGAGAGGCCCAGAGATCCGAAGTATCTAACGGCGCTGACACGGTCCTGAAGCTGAGATCCAGACACGGCGGAAGAACTCCCCGCCGAACCTTCAGTATCCGGTCCGGTAGCCACAGAACTTCAGCTGATCCATTCCAAGAGTGCCGCTGAGAACCGACGTCCAAAGTAGGCTAAATCCTCGAAATTGCTGTGATGAGAACTGGGTGATGCCGTCAACCGTTCAGTAGCTTACCCTCATAAGTTATAATTTAGTTCTCCAAATTCCTTTTTAATTTACCCTCGTAACTCCGTTAACGTAGGTTAAATTTCCACTTATTCACTCACTATCATTAACCTCCAGTCTTAGGTTTAATTTAAGCCATTCCTTCGTTTATTCATTAGATGTGCTTTGATTTGCTCATTATTTGCTCATCATTTATTGACGTTTTGTTATCATATAACTTGTTAATAAATTGTCCATTTAATTTTAAGTTGTCGTCTTAGTGGTCTTTCCAGAAAGTAGTCCCTGAATGAAGAATTCCGGCCTCAGATGAGAGACTGATTTAAATCTGTTTAAGACTGATCCAACGTTTAATTACTCAATTGAACTTTGTTTCGTCCTTTTCCCACCAGAAAGGTGGGTGGTGCCCCTTCAACGAGTGCATAAATGTCATAATTTAATTTGATTAATTCTCGACATTTATTTTAAATTTGAAATCGCTACAGGGACAACATCATTATCAAGTACGCTGACAACACCACAGTGGTCGGACTGATCTCAGAGGGAAATGAGGCAGCCTACAAAGGGAGGTCCAAAGGCTGGCCACCTGGTGTTTAGACAACAACGTGGCACTGAACACAAAGGAGAAAACAAAGGAGGTCATCGTGGACTTCAGGAGGAACAGGACTGACCGGTACCTCCTTTACATCAACGGCGAGTGTGTGGAAAGGGTCCACACATTCAGGTTCCTGGGAATCCAGATCTGCGACGATGTCTCCTGATCAGCCAAAATCACTGCCACCATAAAGAAGGCCCAGCAGCAGCTGCACTTCCTGAGAGTCCTCAGGAGGAACCAGCTGGACAGGGAGCTGCTGCTGGCCTTCTACCACTGACGTACTGCATCACCACATGGTATGGGAGCTGCACCGAGGCGGAGAGGGAGGCTCCAGTGGACGGCTCCAGAGGACAGTCAAAACAGCACAGAGGATCATCGGCTGCCCTCTCCCTCCCTGACGGACGTCTACTCCACTCAGTGCCCAAGGGGAGCTCAAAACATCATCCAGGGCCCTTCACAACCCGGTGCCCAGCTGTTTGACCTGCTTCCCTCTGGGAGGCGCTACAGGTGCATCAAAGCAAGGACTAACAGACTCAAAAACAGCTTCTTCCCTCGAGCCATCACCATCTTAAACTCTATATATACTATATATATGTATATGTTCAAACACACATATATTTATATTTATTTTTGATATTTCTTTTAGTATCTATCTTTCTTTTTTATTCTTATACATACATTTTATTTTACTGTTCTGTAAAATTCTTGTTTTGTATATATAATATCTTCTTTCTTACAACTGTTTGTACTTTTACTACCTGTTTTCACTTGTCTATTGCACTGGAAAAGGAGAAGCTCTCCAATCTCGTTGTACTTTAGCATGATGACAATAAAGGACATTCTGATTCTGATTCTAATGTGGTGCTGCAGATCTCATGGGAAATGGAGCTGCCTGCTCAAGTCCACCTCCATTCTCCATTCCACACCTGGCAACAGAAGGGTGGGTGCTGGTCTCCTACTGGCCGAGCGGCTAGCAGCTCCAGAAAGGCTAAAACATTGCCTCTGCTTGCTCCAGGGCTAACCAGCGTCCCAGCCACCCCGGGTGGGACGGTTATTGTTACTCAGGTCCAGCGCTCTTAAGGTCCTTACACACCAGGGGCGAATTCGCCAGGCAAATTATTCGCCTTTACTCGCCTTTTTTTAAAACAGCATAAAGTAAATGCAAGCTTCCACACTGGCGGCGATTTTTCCACGGGGCGAAAAGCGTCTTTTTTTTTCGCTCTTGTGTCGAATTTTTCAGAGATTCGCAGGCGAAAATCTGGACCTGCTAGACCTCTGGCCAATCAAAAGTCATGTTGTTGATGACGTCACAGACCCATGCGGCTGCAGTTCACACGACACACACCACCACTGGCACCAAGAGCAACGATGGGAGAGAGTGTGTACCACAGAGTGGTTGCCCGGTGTGTATAAGCGAAAGCGATTTTTCGGACCGGCGAATATTTTCCCATTTTCGTCTCGCTTTTTCGCTTCGCTCCGCAAATTCACTGGTGTGTAAGGACCTTTAGACTGGAGAACTGGGAGCTGAGGACTGAGGACAGA